ATCTCACCCATGTTATTTTGAACCCGTGTGACAACAGAAGAATATGAAAAAAAAAAAAAAACACACCCCCCCCCCCCCCCCCCGTTTTTTTTTTTTTTTTTTTTTTTTTTTTTTTTTTTTTTAAGTATTTGTTTCCATGCATGTTCTCCATGAGGATTTAAAAAAAAAAAATTCAATAAAAAGTTATAAGCTATGAACCAAAACAACTAGCGAACAGATAAATCAAAATATTACAAACTATTTATAGTGTAAATAAAGTGAGAATCAGCCAGACACAGCAACATTTGCTCAACCAATGAAATGAGTGTAAGGCAGTGCATCTGTTTGTACAATAGGATACAGATCTAAACAATATATAAGCAGCTTGAGAGTGTAGGGAAAATCTGCTTTGTGTCATGGGAGTGGGCGGTCGCTGCTGAGCACTTTAGAAGCAATATTCATTCCCATGAAACAGCAACTTCTCTGATTGGTGAAGTAATGCTGAAGTTAAGTTATTCAACAGGAATTTGGCTTAAAAACCTTACAAACTAAACATAAATGATGCTGACATAAGGCTTCTACAAAAGCATATATCATTGTTTTAAATGTTTATACATTTGTCTATAGAGAAAATTACATATTTTGCTTGTTTTTTACTCAAAACTATCCAACTATAAAATATGAAAATACATATCTCTGAATATACCATAGAAAAACAAAGTCTTTTTGTAGATGACTTGATTTTAGAATCTATGTTGTCAGTGGTCATAGTTATTGTTTTGTTATTGCAATAAGCTCTGATGTAATTTGTGGTCATCACAAAATGAAACAGATAATGAAAGAAAATGCATCAGCGTTCTTTGTTCTTTGTAACATTAGTGAAACAGAAAGGCTTGTAATTTCCAACACAAAAACGATACAGATTTTTAGAGGTACTTTGCTGGTTCATTTTAAAGCAAGCAAACATCATAAGGTTATAATGAAAGGGTTATGATGTAGGCACTTCATATGATGCACACATTTTCAAGTAAGCAGCATGGAACGTGTTATAAAAGCACTGGTATCTAAAAAGCAGTGCTTGTGGGGGGTGGGGGTGGGGTTGCTCTACAGGGGCCATTCTTCAGGGCAGCATGAGCACAGGGAGAATGTCTCCGATGTCCTCTTACCCATGGCTGCTGCTGCTGCTCACATAAGCAGCATAAGACTGGCGGCTAACAGATGATAGGGAGCCTTGGTGATAGCTGCTCTCATAGCGCGTCTCAAGGTCCCGTTGCTGCTGTTCCTTTTGTAGTTTTAAGGATTCTGACATCCTGAGGTGCTTTTTAGATCGGCCCAAGGACCCTTTCTCTCTCTGCTTGCAGTCTCAAGTACAATTCCCAATGAATGTTAATTCAAATGCACAAAAAACAACACCTGACTCCAAACCCAATTTTAATCATGAATATACACTGTCAGAAAAAACAAAAGTGTAAAAACTTGATGGCCTTGGGTGGTATAGCAGCTTGTCACTGGGGCAGTAACCTTAAAGGGACATCTTTGTACCTTAGTGTAGTAATATGTACCCTTAAGTTACTACTCTGAATCTTTAGAGGTAAATAAGGTACACTGATGTTCCTTTAAGGGTACTGCCCCAGTCAAAAGCTGTACACCTAAATACATACTTTGTATGCACATTTTTTTCTGAGAGTGTAAAGTCCACTATTATTTTTCAGAAACACTGTATGGGCCAACACACATATCCAAGACATTTGTCTATGTATCTTTGTTTACAGTTCTAAAAATAGTAGCAGACACATTCTTGTTCAAATTAAAATGACATAAATAATTAAATCGACTTAATATCAAAATAGCAAAAATTAAATAGTCCTACAAAAACGTTCCTAGTATTCAAAGTATAATGTCAGACACCATACAATTATATGACCAACTAGTTTTGTCTGTTGTGATGGTAACTAATTCATAAATTTAGATTAAGTTGTTACAGACAATTGGATGACTTTAACACATTAGCCTACTTCCTATATTTGGGCAGGCCTAGCGTCAATTAGAAATACAAAGTCACTTACCAAGTCAAAGTTGCTTTTGCAAAAAGAAGAAGGGGCAAACTTCAAAAAAAATGAGAAGCCAGTGAAAATCCAGTCACAGCGGCGGGTATGGGGCAGCCGACAGTACGGGACTTCACTGAACAAAAATAATGCTGCCACTCTGCAGATTGCAGCGTCAAGCCACGACCTTGTATGGCCACTAGGTCTGTTAAATATAGACCCTGACTAGGGGGCAGGCAGATTCAACATGTTAACTCTGGGAACGCGCGTAATTCAATAGGCTATATAAACACAATTAGACAACTAAAGCAACTTAACACTATTTTATTAAAGGAATATCACTGCTATTAGGCCTCGCGTCGCAACAGAAGTGATTGAGTGTGATATTGTTTTATATCTTATACATTTCATCAAACAATATGTTAATTTGCGGTTTTACCACAGTATCATATTTTCCCGGCAAACGAAAGTCCCAAAAGAATTCTCACAGACTGAGTTCAAATTAATGGGGAGACGCTCTTGTATAATTTATAACAGCAATATTTATATCTGACATATAAATGGTATTGATTGTGATACGTTTACAAACTGTTTGCTGTCCCTTTCAGTGTTTTGTATTTGAACGCTCTGCTGTCCTATTTAAATCATATATGAATATTTTGTTAACACAAATATTATATTAGCCTACTATAAAAACTATTTTTAGAAACCTATATTTTTTAATTATACAACAAAAATATTTTCAAATGAGTTTTATGTAATAAAAAAATCCATTATTTTATTGATACCAGCTTAAATTGTAATTTAACTAAATTAACTTAAAGTATAATTAAACTGACCTTAGCGCATATTATATTGAAACCATAATACAATAAACACACCCGTTACCTTACTGTAACAATTCACTAATTTTAGCAGCCATTCTGGCATTCTTCCTAATTTTGATAATTTGAACCTACCCCTGCAAGATAAGGCATGGGCTATTCCAGTCGGTGATGTAATGATCTGTCGACGGGACTTTCCCATTGCACTAATCTAGAGAGGGGTGCTCTGGGTCGTCAGTAACCAGCGTGGCAGCCGTTGTTTAGGTGTCCTGCCCTTTTTTTTTTTTTTTTTTACCGGGATAGGTATGTGAAATTTTACGGCATCATTATCTCAAATCTAGATGGAGATATTTTTATGAGCTTTATATGACGTTAAAGTCTTAGAGGTTTTATTACAAACGACAGACTGAAGTCAACAGCTCCGTTGCTAGCTAGCTTATTTGTAATTATGTGTTATGCTGCTTCCTGTCAGCACAACCTTTGTTATTGACCATTAGTGCTCTTAATAAAGACACCATATTTGAATGTGGACGGAGGAACTAAAATAATCTATCAAAATAAACATAACGTCAGCTATAAAGAGTTTAAGTAACGTTACTCAGTTGTTGACAGATACTAAGCTAGTGGGCTGCTCAGCTAATGTTAAGGCAGTTAGCAAAACAAACTCATAACCACAGTTTTATACACACAATAGTTTGTTTGTCTTAAAAGTAAGTTGTTTAAAATAAACCAAAATCATTGTGGTTTATATTGACATGGTTGTTGAATGATTTTTCGTCATTCTTTTTTAGTAGCTCATGTATTCGTATAATGTTTGCTGAATGTTTTTCAGTGATCTACAAGCAATCTGTCTCTTCTATTTCAGTTTTAATATCACAGAATTGTCAAAATGTCTAGCAAAAGGGCTAAGGGAAAAACCACCAAAAAGCGCCCCCAGCGGGCCACGTCAAACGTGTTTGCCATGTTCGACCAGTCCCAGATCCAGGAATTCAAAGAAGCCTTCAACATGATCGATCAGAACCGTGATGGCTTCATTGATAAGGAGGATCTGCATGATATGTTGGCTTCATTAGGTAATTACAAAATAGAGTTGGCAAGGCAGAAAGGTTCAATATTTTATCATTGACCTTGGCCCTTAATGACCCAGCTTCCTTCTAATGGACTTCACCTTTTTTCACATAAATACTATTAAAAATATTAGCATAAACTGAGCTCTGAATAAAACTCAGTTTGTCAATATTATATTTTGAATAGTATTTATAGAGTTCTAGAAAGTTAAAGAGAAGTCTTAATCAGGTATAAAGTTTATCTTTAGAAAATCAATATATTGCAAGTCATTTATATATATATATATATATGTATACACATGAGTTTTATGGCATTCCTTTCATATGAGTGTCTTATTTCTGCTGAACACAAAAGAATATGTTTTGAACGGTTGATTCCCCCCCCCCACCCCCACTATGAAAGTCAGAGGCTACTGTCAGATGATTTAGTGCTGTCAAACGATTAATCGCATCCAAAATAAAAGTATTTGTTTACATAATATATGTGTGCGTACTGTGTATATTGTGTATATATAAATACACACACATGCATGTATATATTTTGAAAATATTTACATGCATACATGTATAGTCATATCATTTATATTATTTATAAATATATTTAACATATAAACATAACATTTTTCTTAAATATATACATGCATGTGTGTAGGCCTGTCGCAATAATCAATATATCGACTTATCGCGCAATATATGTACATGACCTCAATAAATTTTGGTGACGCAATATATCGCCCATTATATTTACTTAAAAATGTATGTCACCGTGTTTTTTACATTCCACTTGCGCCAGTGTCTTCTGCAGCTTCTCGTACATAACGTGATGTAGTCATGAGGTGCTCGTTCAAAATTGTAAAAATGCTTCTACAAAAAAGTTTCATCTGAAGATATGACCTTGTTTAGAGGTCTGTGCCTTTGTGCATACGGACATCTGACTGCTGAGTAGTGATTTGTGTTTTTCAGCAATAGTGTGTACCCTTAATTTACAGAGAAAAGAAGATCAGGGAAAAATCTCCATACAAGTTCGTGCATTTTTCTTTTTTTTTTACTTGTTAATTAGAAAATGTTTATTTACTATTTATTCAAGTTTTTTAAGGTATCTAATATGTTGATACTTAATTTCCATGATCTAAATATTCTTAAAAATTAAAAGTTTGTTGTCATTTGGAGGTGTGTAGGCCTTCTTGCATTATTATGCTGTTACATTATGATTATATATTCAGTGGCATAAAATTATCTTTAAAATAACAATAATATCGCTTATCGCAATTATTTCTGGGACAATATATCGCACAACAAAAAGTTGTTATCGTGACATGCCTACATGTGTGTGTATTTGTGTATATACATAAATATACACAGTACACACAACTTTTATTTTTAATGCGATTAATCATTAGACAGCACTAAAATGTTTAGTTACCAACATTCTTCAAAATATCATCTTTTGTGCTCAGCAGAATAAAGAAACTGCTACAGGTTTGGAATTTTCGTTTTTGGGTGAACTGTCTCTTTAAAAGCTACATTGAATCAAATACAAACTGCTTTTTACTGACCGGTTATTTAATTGTTAGGTAAGAACCCCACAGATGAATACCTCGAGGCGATGATGAATGAAGCCCCTGGTCCCATTAACTTCACCATGTTCCTCACAATGTTTGGAGAGAAGCTTAATGGCACAGATCCTGAGGATGTTATCAAAAATGCATTTGCTTGTTTTGATGAGGAGGGGACGGGTAAGCATGAACAAACCACTGAAATAAAATAGCAAGTAACACTGGTGATCTGTATTAGTCTGAAGTCCAAAATTAGAGTAATATATGCTGTTTTTGATAAACATTTGTTCGGTTATTAATTATCAGATTGCCTCGTTTGTCCTAGGTTTTATTCAGGAGGACTACCTAAGGGAGCTCTTGACCACTATGGGAGACAGGTTCACAGACGAAGAAGTAGACGAGCTGTTTAGAGAGGCCCCTATTGACAAGAAAGGAAACTTCAACTACGTAGAATTCACACGCATCCTGAAACACGGTGCTAAGGATAAGGATGATTAGGACTAGGCCAAACACTACTGAAACTAATGAAAACTACACTGTAACACTACAACATGTTTAATTGTCTTCTTTTCCCCCACATTCATGGGCTAGTGCAAAGGGATACATTCATCAGCAAGGCAAAATCATTTGACTCTACTGGACCTTCTCTTAAACAGTCTAAGAAGACTTGTACATAACTATGAAATAAATAGACATGTAATCTGTGGTAAACCTCAAGGTGAATGAATGCTGTTCTGGTATGTAAATGTTGAGAAATAAATTCCGGAATTATTCAACGTAGTCTGGAGTTGCTGGATATTTACACTTTGTAATAAACCATTTGAAATAAGTCATCAAATTTTCATTACAGAACTAGGGATTTTATGAAGAAAAATTTAATTTTACCATAAAAAAAACAGGATTTTAGCATTTTAATTCTTAATATCATTAAAACCTAGTAGATACAGGATTTTAGTCGAGGGACTAAGGTTGCGGGTTCGAGTCTCGTACTGGCAGGGATTGTAGGTGGGGGGAGTGAATGTACAGCGCTCTCTTCCACCTTCAATACCACGACTGAGGTGCCCTTGAGTAAGGCACCGAACCCCCAACTGCTCCCCGGGCGCCGCAGCATAAATGGCTGCCCACTGCTCCGGGTGTGTGTTCATGGTGTGTGTGTGTGTTCACTGCTGTGCGTGTGCACTTTGGATGGGATAAATGCAGAGCACTAATTCCGAGTATGGGGTCACCATACTTGGCCACGTGTCACGTCACTTTCTTTCACTTTCATTTTACAGAACAGGATTTACCAAAGATTTACCGAGATGACACAAAAGTTGTCTTCAAATGTTTAATTTCTCTCAATAACTTCACAACAGCATTTGAGACCGAAATTGATGGGGAAAACCACCAGAGGTTTGAAGCACCCTGAGATTTAATCATTGCCATTGTGATATCCGCCATATCAGATTCAGCACACTATTAGCTAACGCTTCACAACTTCAGTGTATGCACATGGAACCGGAAGTGACGTGTGTGTGTGTGTGTGTGTGTGTGTGTGTGTGTGTACGCCACGCCCCTTTGCTGCGCCTCATCCATCTGCCCTTCTGTATGAACAAGATACCATTAATTCTAAAAGTAAATTTTTTTTACACAATTATTTTACTTAGAAAATATCATATTCATGTAAAGAAATGGACTAAAGCCAAGCCAAATTGTGAACATTTTATCAAAGAAATTAAACAATATGGTACTACTTTGCATAATATTAGAAACAGAAAAGCTAAAAAGACAGATGAAGCACTCTGTCACTTTAATTTGGTTAATCAAATGTTTTATTATTATTTATTTTTTTACCCATGTACATGCACTTGTTTTTTTCTCTGTATACCCTTTTTAATTTTTTTATATTACTGTTGCAAGATGTATACAGTGGTGTGAAAAAGTGTTGGCCCCCTTCCTGATTTCTTATTTTTTTGCATGTTTGTCACACTTTAATGTTTCAGATCATCAAACAAATTAAAATATTAGTCAAAGATAACACAAGTAAACACAACATGCAGTTTTTAAATGAAGGTTTTTATTATTAAGGGAAAACAAAATCCAAAACTACATGGCCCCGTGTGAAGAAGTGTTTGCCCCCCTGTTAAAACTGTGGTTTATCACACCTGAGTTCAATTTCTCTAGCCACACCCAGGCCTGATTACTGCCACACCTGTTCGCAATCAAGAAATCTCTTAAATAGGACCTGCCTGACAAAGTGAAGTAGACGTTTGTATTAATATGTACATAATTGCATAATAAAAAAAAAATCTGCCCTTCTGCATCATTGTATTTACGAAGAATAATTCGAAAGGATTAAAAAAAAACAATATTAAATAGAAAACTGGGGTGTGTGATTTTTATTTTTTGAGAATGTAATTTTAGAATATATATATAAAAAAATACATTATGCAATTATTATTCATTTAATTAGGAAAATACCATATAAGCAGGAAAAAGTGGGCTTCTTGCAAATAAGACTACACAGACATTTTGATCAAAGTAAATGCAAAAAAAAAATGCTGAAAATGTAATGTTTTTTTATGTTGTAAATAATGTGACTGTGTAATACCGCTTGTTCAATCTGTCTTTCTTCTGAAATGTGTTATTGCTGCATGAATAACCTAATGGCTCCACAAAAATGCTCCGTTGTTTTCAAATACCACCATTTATTGCATCTCTTACAGACTCCAGTGATGCATTTCACGTTTCAGAATATTTCAGATCTTGATGTATAACCAATAATAAAGTTTATCAAGAAAACCAGTTAATTTTAATAATCCAAGCAATATTTGGACTAGTTGATGGCTGCTCCACGCAGGTTCTTCATTCATGCTACTCAGAACTATGGACTTGAAAAACATTTCAACAAGCTTCAGAGTCCAGCGTGAAGTCCAAACACCCCATCTTAACAAGAGCATAGACAATAATATTAATTGGCAAATGTAAAATTAAAACTAAGAATAAGAGTTTATGTGTGTCTATATGTAATATGTAACACAATTAATAAGTTAATATGTAATGAGATGTTTTAATGTAATTATTCTGGGAAAAAAATATCTCCATGCTCTAAAAATAAATTTCTTCAATAACTCGACTTTCCCCAAACTGTTTGTATCTCATGTCATCCAGAATTATTTTTGTTTGGACATGCATTACTATAAAGGTACAGTGGGGCAAAAAAGTATTTAGTCAGACACCAATTGTGCAAGTTCTCCCACTTAAAAAGATGAGAGAGGCCTGTAATTTTCATCATAGGTATACCTCAACTATGAGAGACAAAATGAGGAAAAAAAATCCAGAAAATCACATTGTAGGATTTTTAAAGTGGGAGAACTTGCACAATTGGTGGCTGACTAAATACTTATTTGCCCCACTGTATGTTCAGATATAATGGAAAGTAGGTGATCCAAAATTCTGATTAATAAAGGGATATGCCAGGAGTTTTACTTGGATATCTAAAAACTGTAATCTTGTCGGAATTTACTGGGTTATGAAAATCAGGCGAACATGTTTACATGACCAAATTCTAAATAAACCTGGAAAAATCACACTTCATGTGATCATGTTAAACATTAAACTGAAGTTACAATGCTATGTGCTAGACTGGGCAATGAATACAACACAACATGTTCAATACCATCAGCACAAGAAAAACTGCCTCCACCAGCTGTAAACAAAACACTGATCAGAGAACAGATTCTTATGTGGCAGGGATTTGTGGTAGACCAAACTCATCCACCAGAACGCCATCCTGAGAGACACAAATATGCACTGAGTAAATCACAGACAAATAATGACGAATGATAATGAATATGAAGGTTTTGTCATTGAAAGTTTTATCAATTTAATCTGTACCTTATTGGTTTTAGTGTCGCTGGGCATTCCTTCAGGAATGGAGGGTGCAGACGAGGCTTCATCTAAGTAAGAGCTGTCATCATCCAGCAGTAATTCATCTCCCAGAGCATCCAGCTCTGCAGCAGAGGAAAAAAAGTGAAGCTCTAAGCTCCATACACACACACACACACACACACAGAGAGAGAGAGAACTACCTGCTTCTAGTTCATCCTCATCGATCTCTGGTGTGCCATAGCTGCGACTGAGAGCTTCCTGCACCTCGTTGGCCTCATCCATCATATCTTCCAGTTGATCCTGCAGGTCCTATCAGTCACAAAGAATAGTAATGAAAAGTGTACCTTATTACCACTGATCATCAATCAAAAATATTGCTTAAAAACAGCCAATATCAAAATGATTAGTGTATATACTTCAATCTGATCCATTTTCACTTGTTTATATGCTTTCTTCATTTCTTTTGCTCCAATCTTCATTGCCTCCACCTACAAAAGAATAAAACTTATGAAGAATCTAACAGTTAAAATGAATAAAGATGAATGAATAAATTTAATTAAAAATCCAATAGTAATATATTTTGTTACTGATAATATGGACACATATTATATATATATGTGTGTGTGTGTGTGTGTGTAGGTGCATCTCAAAAAATTTGAACATCGTGAAAAAGATCTTTCAAATTTCAGTTCGAAATTGTTTTTGTGTAACTTATTTCAAAAAGTGAAACTTTCATATATTCTAGATTCATTACATGTAAAGCAAAACATTTTTATTTTTTATTTTGATGATTGGAGCTTACAGCTCATGAAAGTCAAAAATCCAGTATCTCAGAATATTAGAATATTTCCTAAGATCAATAAAAAAAAAGGATTTGCAAAACAGAAAAGTTCAAGTTCTTTAAAGTATGTTCATTTATGCACTCAATACTTGGTGGTGGCTTCTTTAGCACAAACTCCAGCATCAGTGAGGTGTGGCATGGACGCGATCAGCCTGTGGCACTGCTGAGGCACTATTGAGCCTTCAGTTCATCTGTATGGTTGGATCGACTGTTTCTCATCTTTCTCTTGAAAATATCCCATAGATTCTCTATGGGGTTCAGGTCAGGCATGTTAACTGGCCAATTAAGCACAGTAATATCATGGTCAGCATACCACTTGGAAGTGGTTTTGGCACTGTGGCTAGCTGCTAAAATCATGCTGGAAAAGGAAATCAGCATCTCCATAAAGCTTGTCAGCAGATGGAAGCATAAAGTGCTCCAAAATCTCCTGGTAGACGGCTGCATTGACTTTGGACTTGATAAAACACAATGGACCAACACCAGCAGACGTCACGGCAACCCAAATCATCACTGACTTTGGAAACTTCACACTGGCAGCTTGGATTCTGTGCCTCTCCAGTCTTCCTCCAGACTTTGATTTCCAAATGAAATGCAAAATTTACTTTTATGTGAAAAGAGGACTTTGGACCACTGAACAAAAGTTCAGTTCTTTTTCTCCTTAGCCCAGGTAAGATGCTTCTGACGTTGTTTCTGTTTCAGAAGTGGCTTGGTAGCCCTTTTCCTGACGACGTTTGAGTGTGGTGACTCTTGATGCACTGACTCCAGCTTCAGTTCACTCCCTTTGAAGCTCTCCCAATTGTTTGAATCGGCTTTGCTTGTCAGTATTCTCCAGCTTGCGGTCATCCCTGTTGCTTGTGCACCTTTTCCTACCCAATTTCTTCTTTCCAGTCAACTTTGCATTTAATATGCTTTGATACAGCACTCTGTGAACAGTCACCCCTTTCAGTAATGACCTTCTGTGACTTACCCTCTTTGTGGAGGGTGTCAATGATCGTCTTCGGGACCATTGCCAAGTCAGCAGTCTTCCCCATTATTGTGGTTTCAAAGAACAAGAGATACCCTTAATTTATATTGTAGGGATGGTCATTTAATGAAACTCAAATGTAAATATTCTAATATTTTGAGATACTGGATTTTTGACTTTCATGAGCTGTAAGCTCCAATCATCAAAAATAAAATAAAATAAACGTTTGAAGTGTTTTACTTTACATGTAATGAATCTAGAATATATGAAAGTTTCACTTTTTGAAATGTTACAAAAAAATTACTTTTTTCACGATATTCACATTTTTTTTAGATGCACACACACACACACACACACACACAATTTTGATTCCCACTGTCCCAAATAATATATATTAGGAAAATAACACATAAGAAGAAGTTGGATCTTAAATAATAAATAAACAAACAAACAAACAAACATTTTATGCATTAACAGTGCTGGGAATAATATGGATAATAACAAGACTTTACTGTTGTTTTGGTGTCCTTTAAAGACTGGATTGTATAGTTGGCTTGTTCCATATTAAATGACTGCTGGGAAAGCTGATCTCTTTGACCTTCATACCTGCATAATACAGCAAAAACAGAATTTAACATTATTATTATAAAACAATCTTCGATATTGAAATACACATTTCACACATTACAAATGAATATTAGTATAGGGAAAAACTCACATTCTCTTTTGTTTCAGTACTCTCATCGCCTTCTGTTTCACTGCATTCTGTAAAGAGATTGTTCATTTTATGCTTACAGAACTCTGTATGATTTATAGTGGGGTCCAAAAATCTGAGACCACATATAATGAAGTAAATAAAGTAAATTTGTGAACTTGAAAACTTCTAAAGGTTATATAATGTATAATAGTATATAATATAATGTGTAATAGTAGTTGGCAAGGCAACATTTTTCTTTTTCATTTAAATTATATGCTACCTCAATAATAAAGTAAAATTTTAAAAGAAAAACAAAATACAACAAAATGACTTAAACCTTAACTAAAATAAAAAAGAAATTAAAAACTATCTCAGTGATACTAAATGTATACTGGCAGGAGTTCTGCTATCATATGAGTACATACACAACTAAGACATTCATGTTAATTTTTCAATTAAAAATTAAAATTGATTAACAGGTTGTTATGTTGATAATAATGTACTGAAAAAGCAAAACAGACTTTTGGATCTCACTGTATAGTTAGAATGAGAGATTGCATTATTGCATGTTGACATGATATCAACTCGAGTTTTTGATGCTCACTTTTGAGGGTCCATCCCTCATCTTTTTCATCTGGTCCTTATACTTCATTAGCTCTGCGTCGATTCTCGCTATTTTCTTATCGATGGACTCGATCCTCGTATCCACCTATAACGGGAACAGCACACACAGCATCCACAGTACATCCATGTCTGACATGCAAACACCAATCAGGATGCTGCACTCATGTTCTGGGAGAAAGTCACAACAATACACTACTTACATTGCCTATGCAGTCAGAAAGGTTAGGAGTAGGCGTTTTATTGCTCCGTCCGAAAATTCGGTTCATTTTGAACGGGATTGACACTTATTTGCTTTGTTAAGGTATTTAAATGCTGATCACAGCGGGCTTGTTCCGGTTGGTCGTAGAATACACAACATAATAAAAGTCACGGTTGAGGATTATCATCCGCTGTTTTTCTGTTGGGTCCCATTGGTAAAGCTTGAGAAATTCCCTAGATAGCAACATTCTAAGGCTATTGCTGAATTTGTTTCTCTTTCGTCTCATTTTTCCCTTGAAATTGTTTCGTCACATATCTTTTAAACCAGCCAATACCAACGAATAAATAAATGGATTACCTAAATATTGCTACCATTGGTTTACTATTATCAGGTTGATATATTTCATAATTGATCTGATATTATCATGAATGATATTTAGGCTATTATTGTAATTTTTAAATAATATTTTTTTTTACATTGTTCGTTTTTATGTGTAGCCTAATTAAACTTTGAAAATAAAATATTTTGAGTTTTTAATTTCAGTTATCTATCAATTAATAAATGCATTGTTTTAATTTACTGTAGACAATCTGAGACATCTGACTGCTGCATTCAAAAAACGATTTTTTTTAGCAACATTCAGAACGTATTCCCTATGTTTATGTAACCAGTATGATCTGATTGTGTAAATTCACTCCATTCCAGTCAGAAAAGATGGTAGACTAGTATTTCAATAATAATAAAAAACAAATGATGGAGGGTGTACGTACAGATAAGTCATTTTCTCTCACAATATATTTGTAATTACACACCTCACAGATTCCAAGGAAATGAACTGTTCATGTTCCTTCTCTGGAGCTGTTCTGACAAACAGATGTTTCACAGTCTCACAGAGTGACCTTGAAGCGCTATGTTTATCCATTAATGTCTACCATGGCAACGTTAACACTTCATCAGACTTACCAAGAACTAGATTTAACTTGGTAGCCTACTGACAGAACTGTCTCTGAAGTGTTAATGTGCACATAATCTGACAAGGTTCTGGACAACTCTGTAAAAAGAAGCCCTTTACTTCTCTGTTCCTTGAAGCCTACCATCATTTTAACTTACAAAGCACGTTGAATGAAAAATTATTTAATGCACCTTTATAAGGACTGTTAAAAAAAAAAAATCTGCCATCCTTTATTAATCTTCATGTCGTTCTAAAGTGAGGAATTTAACAGAATGGCTCCTATCCACTTGTATTTGGAAATGAGCATTTGAACTACTAAATATCTCTTTTGATGTTCCCTGAAAGATTGAAAGTCAGAGTGGAAAATCTAGAATTTATATCTTTTGATAAACCAAACATTTATGTAATCTTCAATGGATGTTTTATATTAATTCCATAATGTTTCATTAAAAAATATATCAATTTTAGAGAGAAAATATATATATATATATATTTAAATTAAAGCTATAGACACAGTGTCCATTGATCATCGTGTCTTCCTCTATGACGTATCTGAGATGTTCTCATGATACTGACAAGCATCAACGGTGTGGAAAAGAGAATCTCTTGCTGTTTGAAATAGGCTATAAGATGCACAATAGGTTGCCATGGCGACACTGCCTTTGTTACGTGGCTACGCTTCTTTCATCTGGCTTTGTTGTCTTGAATGATTTTTCAGACACATCATTCAGTCGTGACGGAAGAAAACCCCATAATTGACATCTCTGAACAGAACATGAACACTAATTCTTACAGTTCAATTTATTGACAATATTGTTTTCAAATACAGGTCATTTTAAACAAGCAAGGTACAACTGATGGCATAGCAAAGCTCAGTTCATTTCAAATAAATTTTTTTTCTTCCAAAATTGCACATATTGAAACACAAGCTGAGAAACAAAACTTGCTAACACATTTACAATCTGCCGTGATATAATAGTGTACATTACTGAAAGTACAGTGGAACTTATAGAAACTTCTCTCACTCTGCACTTCATTGTCCTATAACACCATAAAGCATCTTAGATGACTAAATATTTGCAATAGTCATATATATTGATTAACGAAAAACCAAAGGCACAAAGGGCATTACATTTTTCAAAAGAATTGTGCAATTCCTATACTGTTGTGGCAAGAGCAGTGATGACGTCATAATAAAGGAACAGAACTACAGTAAAAGATTGCATTTTTACGAACGTCAAGAAATATATATATATATATATATATATATTGCCATCACATCCTAAAGGTAACATTACACTACTTACAAAAATCAACTGTTACATCAATAATGTTTTCTACCACGGAACTGATTTTGTATTTTCTTTTCATCATAAATTGTATTCACATAAACATTACTCAGAGATCCCCGCATTTTCACCGTCAAACATGCAATTGAGCTGTACATCTTTTTTATAGGTCTAGAGAAATGATAATACACTGTATTAAGCATGAACAACCTGACTAAGTAGATTCAGTCCTTTAGTTGGTTGTTTTAAAGCCCTATTCCCAAAAAAACAACAACATATAAATCCGTAGACTCCCTCTAAGGCAACTTAAGATACATAATCATTCATAATCCTTTTCAGACATAATCCTTCAATCTAAATCAAATACGGAGAATATAAAGCACTTATCAAACAGTAAGCAGTCCCGAAAACACTACACTCACTTTACTTAAACTGCTGTAGACTAATTTTTTCCCCCACCATTACAGATATATAGTTTCCTGAGTGATAATTATGTGACACTGTTGATTAATATACATTGATTTATACATTTATATATATATATATATATATATATATATATATATAACAGACACATACATACAGTGTTTTTGTTTGCAGTTTTTGGCTACACTATTTTTTTCATGTCTACTCAAGCGAAACTATAAGTTAGAATTCAAATATGGTGCCTAATATACTATATATCCCAAAGGACTTATTACGCAAAAGGATCTTTGAGCATGACGTTTGATTGTGAGGGACCAGATTTTAATCATTTTAATCATAATCAAATATTTGGTCAATGGACATTCAAAAAAAGCAATAAACTAGATTTGAATGAGGTGATACACTGTAAAAATGATCATATTTTAACGGAAAAAGACCTGGTGATTTCTTAATGGTAATTCCCTTACTATACCAGGAAAAACTGTAATAATGGGACAGTTAATAAATGTACAGTTTGTGGAAGTGAAAAAAAACCAAGTGATCCTATCATTTACAGTGAAAATATGTCAATTGACATTCCTGTGTGACACTTCACATTTGATGGCATTTTATTGAAATAACTGTTTCTTCTTAGTTTTTTTCTTATCGGTTATGTACATTAGGGTTTTATGTTAGTAAACTAATGGTTACTACATTATTTTAGAGTTATGTATATTAATGTGAATCTTCTGTATATTAATATTAATATTAACCCCTTGCGGAAAAGTTACCTGTGATAAGCTTTGATTCATCATGTGGCTTTCTCATTAACACTTTGTGTTTTTGGTGGTTGTCAACATATAAAAGCATAAAACATATTTTAAAATTTCAGTAGGTTGGTGTTTTAACATTATATCAGTTAATAAAATATAATGTATGGGTTTTTACTGTAAACTTTTTAAGTTTTAATGTTTAACGTTTTACAGTCACGTTCTTATTCATAGCTTTCAGTCACGTAACCGGTTCGAAGACCTGGAGGGCAAAACATCCATAGAACTGCTGGACAAGCCTGTCAATTTTCCATCTTTTCACAGCCGCAAATATTTAGATCACCTCTCAAAATAATAAAACAAAGGTATGTGAACAAAATGCAAGTTTTGTCCATTTGCAATTAAGCACCCACCATATTAAACAGTGTGACAAAACGTTGTGAAAACACTTAAAGTGCCTTCATTTATATTTAAAAAAGTAATATTCTCTATATTAATGATGCATAGTTTACATAGGCAAGCAGATGAGGCCGGAATATGAACGCAATCCGCTTAATGGTTCAATGTTTTCCTTCTAATGATTTTCTATGGGAAACCATTTAACGTGGAACTTTGCACATTGTTTATATTCTGGCTTCATCTGCTTGCCTGTACAAAATATACACACAATCAATAAGGTGTTTACTGAATGTCGCCTTTTAATATCTGCGTTCTACTACATTACTACTTACAAACTGCGTAAAAATAACTGGTGGTCAGTGGAGCAAAGCTTTGTTTTGCCCTCCAGGTGGGCGTTCCTATAAGGGTGTGACGTCACGTGAAAATAATCAATAGCGCACTATAAAAAAAACTTGACCACTTGACTACTTATATGACGTATTTCCTGTATTTGGTATATTTCCTGTAAGTGTTCAAGTGAGCATGAAGACCACAAGTGTGTGTCGAACTTTTCATTACCTTATGGGACACACTTGTAGAGTTGTAAAAATGCAAGTGTTTACATAGCTTTATTTTAATTTTAAATACTTTGCATTTTAAAATCAACTTCTAAATGTCTGTTCAGTAGTCCCTATAACATGACAATTTTAATTTGTGGTCAGAATATAGCCTTGTCCAAATACCCACACTATTCTTTGCACTTGACCACTTGACTACTTATATGGCGTATTTCCTGTATTTGGTATATTTCCTGTAAGTGTTCAAGTGAGCATGAAGACCACAAGTGTGTGTCGAACTTTTCATTACTTGATGGGACACACTTGTAGAGTTGTAAAAATGCAAGTGTTTACATAGCTTTATTTTAATTTTAAATACTTTGCATTTTAAAATCAACTTCTAAATGTCTGTTCAGTAGTCCCTCTAACATGACAATTTTAATTTGTGGTGCTTCTAATTAAATGATAAAAAGCAGTTGCAAATGTTGTACAAAATAAATATCACCACTACTCATCTTTGCACCAATAAAACTTAAAAACACAGTTTTTCTACCAAATTATATGTAATATCTAATTATTATATTAATAATTAACTTGCATTGGAAAGGTTTCCGTGACCTCTCGCGAGATCTCGGCAAAAAGTCTCACGATTTATTTCCAGAACATGATGCATGATGAGATACACTAAGCCTCGAATAGTGCTCCGGAGCGGTATTCAAGATAGTGTGGATTTAATGTGCGTTAAGGGCACTGCGCTTTGGCGTTTTTAAGACCTGGGACAGTCTTGCACACTTA